GTAAAATAGCTGTGGTATTGCCTGTTACCAGTGCAGCATGTGAGAGGAGTTTTTCAGCTCTTAAACTGATCAAGAATCACCTGCGTTCTACCATGACTGAGAACAGACTAGCAAGTATAGCAATTCTCAGTATTGAGTCTAAACGTGCGAAAGATTTAAATTTGGATGAGTTTGTGAAGAGATTTGCTGCACAGCATAGCAATCGTCGCATACAGCTTCTGTAGCAATCAGATGATATATGTAACGGAGTCAAAAAACATTCTAATCTGCTTTGTATTTTTTTGGTTGCATTTACAATGTGAAATTTCATCAATAACTGATAATGTAAATACTTGTATATATTTTGTGACTTTAACACACACAGAAATTGTTCTCACAAACCTGTCTAACCTATTCTGTACACATGCACTCACAAAACACTTTGGCAGGCAGGCCTTTGAGGGAGGGCTTTGCTTCTAGGATAATGCTGGAATTTTGTAAAGTGCTGGGAAGTCCTCAAATTTCTAAATCATTCCTATGGCTTGATTTTGCTTTCAAAGTGCCTCAGATTGATTAGATTGAATTAACAATGTTCAACATTTTTGACCCGGGGGATATGCCCCGGATACCCCCCCAGAAGGCTTGCTTGGGATGAGCAACATTTCTGCTGCTACAATAATCCCAAGGGAAACACTGTTTTAATGTACTAAAAAGTGGAATGCTCATGTATGTAGACCAAATATTGAATTTATCACACTTGGGTGTTGAAAAAACTGTTGTATATGGGTGCATATAAAGTACAAAGTAAGGTGGGCTTCCTAAAAAAATTGCCACCCTACAATATATGCCTGCCACCCCTCTGCCACCCCATGTATAAATCTCTAGAATCGCCACTGCATGCTCGAGCCAGCTGCTGCCCCCCCCGCCGAGACCAAAATGACTACGCCTATTTCCAGTGGGGAAAAGTGTGACAGGCCATTTCTAGTCGTGTGCTACATGTGTTAAGGGAAACTAAAGACCACGATTCTCCAGAAAATATCTGGATTTTTTTATCACCAAGAACATTTTATATTGACAGTGTGCAGTATTTGGTATTTTACGACCTACGCCTTGCATAGAGATCATCTTTCAAACTACTTCGGCTTGCATTCATGAAGTTTTAGAACCATGTTTGAGAACTGCAGGGGCCTCCAGATGACGAAAAGGGTCCTAATATATCCAGAGTTCAGTTTGTCAGTTTTGGTGCAACAGGACTCTGCAGAAGAGGACAACCTTCCTATATAGATATGTTGGGCTCATTCTAAGTACAAAAACACACAATGACTATTTTTAATGAATTAATTTTACATTCAATTTTAGTTATGGATATTAACTTCCATTTCTGCAGGAAGAACACCATAAATACTAGTCAGAGAAACACTGATTTCTAACATAAAACGTATTCAGAGTTTTTAGCGGTTACAATTTTCAAAAAAAAGAAGAGGAGACCTCGTTGGAACATATGGTTCCCAGTAATATTGTCTTGAACAATAAACAGTGAAGTTTAACTTAAATAAGTTGACTGCAATGAACTCCCATGACCCCACACCTCTTCACCCTGGAGGTATTTTGTCTGTCATTGCTTTTGATTGAGAGATCTCTAGTGCATTATTTCCCAGCCTTGGGGTCAAACCCTCCTTCGGGGTCACTAAGGCTGCACAGCTCTCTTGAATATTAACACATGAAATATCTATTTGATTCAGGAGTCGTCACTTCAATAAAGTTAGAAAAGGGATTCCTTAAGAAAAATGTTTGGAACCGCTGCTCTCGTGGCAGAAAATGACCTACATTGATGTGAGCTTGAGTACAAGTAATGATACCACACTATGCAAATAGAAATAGCCGATAAATGCAGTGAAGTAAAATGTACAGTATTTTTTAAGTAATATGTACAAGAGTAGCATGAAAAGGAAACATTTTAATAAATGTACTCAGTTAATGTTTTGCTTTTGTTTTCAGTTTGTAATTAAGAGAAGTTATATAAGCTATTGTCTTTGAAAAGGAGTGGGTTCACAAGGACGTCGAGTTAAGTTTGTTCGGGTTCCTCTTCTACTCAGTAAAAGGAAAACATATTAAAACAAATAAAAACAATATTATTTTAATTATGTATCGTAAAAATACAATGGAAACAATTATTTCAGAATCCCCACAATATAACATTTATTGATTTATTGTAGCATTGATATGATTTTACAGAAACATTTTTACATTTTTGATACAAAGTCAACGTGAAAAATTGGGAAATGTCTGTGATTAACTTGTGTTTGGAAATAAAACTGTAATTCTAACTTCTATCAAAGTTAGACATTAAGACTCAAAGAAGCAGTCTTTACATTGCTTTAAACTTAAGGTGCATCAATATGGTTACAACATTTTAGACTTCATGTCTCATTCATGTCCTAAATTGTCCTAACACATATATGTCTGAGAATATTCATACTTCAGCAGCTGTAGTTCATCGTCATCAGTCTATACATTTAATGAGAATTGAACAAATAATTAATGTAACAAGTTTATAGTGGAAGACTTATTATTATTTATTTATTGTTTTTTATATGTTTATTTAAGTTGAAAACGACAAATAAATTAAGCGTAACTTTCCTTTCAATACATTCTGAGTTTTGCCAAGTATTCTTAGTAAGTCTTCTGGGATTCAGCTGTCGTGAATTTCTACAACATTAATAAAACAACTACAGTGGGGTCCCAAAGTGTGACTTCCAAAAAGTGTGCATGTATGACAGTGAGGTATATTTTAATATCTTGTTTACAGGAAACTACACTGACCCCCCCAGACCCCCCCAATAAAGCAAAACTGCACGTTTCAGAGTGGCCTTTTATTGTGGCCAGCCTAAGGCACATCTGTGCAATAATCATGCTGTCTAATCAGCATCTTGATATGCCACACCTGTGAGGTGGGATGGATTATCTCGGCAAAGGAGAAGTGCTCACTATCACAGATGTTTTCAGATTTGTGAACAATATTTGAGAGAAATGGTTATTTTGTGTATATAGAAAATGTTTTAGATCTTTGAGTTCATCTCATGAAAAATGGGAGCAAAAACAAAAGTGTTGCATTTATATTTTTGTTCAGTGTAATTGAAGACATCTTTTCAAACAATACATTTCCTGTGGGCAAGTGGAGGGTCCAGAAATACTTACCAGAATTTCTTATTAATAATGATAACTTACACAGACACGATGAACTCTGGGAATGTAATTATACTTTAGAGTATTTAAACATAATTCATGAGATTTGTTTTCTTTGAGCCTGGTATGTCTAATTAATCAAAGTAATACAGCTCCCATGAGCCTTAGCAGCCGTTGCTATGGAGAAGAAGCCAGAACATCAAACTTACTTACACAGCTTTTTTGTTGCAATGAGGGTAAAAAAATCGAAGTTTTCAAAATACCTGAAATAAGGGAAGCTATTTAAATTGCTGAATGTAACAATCATGTGCTAAAAGTCTCAATCTGTTATCAAGTAACAACTACCATTTTGATATCAGTTTAAAATGTTGAAAGCTTGACTAACATTAACACTGCTACCAGATGTGCTACTAGTACAGAACAATCATCAATTGGTCACAAACAAAGCTAATTTACCCGTGATTTGTCCGTCTAAAATTGCCATTAGTGTCAGAATGTGGGGAAGATATGATAAAAAAATGGGTCCAATAATTACTTTGGCAACAATAGAGTGAAAGAATCATAACAAATCTGTGTTCATGTTCACTTCCCCCATTAGAGTTAATGGACTACTTGACACAGATACAGGAAATTAACTCTCAGTGCACAATTTCCTTTCAAAACTGCCTCTGGTAAAAAATAAGCTACTCTTTAACCTTTTGACTCTATTTTCTGTGATGAAAATAAATAGGACTTGACTTCAGTCTCACTTTCATTTAAACTTGGCAGAAACCACCTAAAGAGCAGAGCAATAATCCAGCAAGTACTTAGGCAGCTGAAACGGTATCAATCGTAAATCTGTTGTATCGTTTAACGAATATATGTACAATCTGCACAATTAATGTGTTTAATGTGATGAATAGTGAGTGAATACCAACAAATGAAACACATCATTCAGTGAAATTTGATGGGTGGGTGTTACACAGTAAATCAAAAATGCAGACTGAACTGTGAAGAAGTTTGTTTCTTGGTTTATAACAGACTATGCTTATGGTCCCCAGTGAATTCTCATGTGATAATGATATGCAGATGAATAAACGTAACAGCATAAAAATATAGAACATAAAGCCAAAAGAGCCAGAAAATAAAAAGGCAAACCATTTCAAACATATGTGTGTAAATATATAAAAACTATCAAATAATAAAAAGGCAACATTTACCTTACACTAATTCTGTATAAAGGCTTTCTGCATTGTCTGATATTATCAGCTGCCACTACCTGTGGAGCTGGAGATTTAAAACAATGTTTTTCAGGTGGTGAAATTCCCTAAAAATGTGTGGCAACAGTGCATGTTAGTGGGCAGTGATAATCAAGATTGGCATCTCTTGATCCTCTGTCTATGGCATACTGAAACATGAAAATGATGACGTAATCAGACACATTATTAGATCGCTTTAACTGAAAATACCTTATTTAAAACTCAGTCTTTTCAATATTGTCATTTATGATGTAGGCCTACAGTAGAGACATTTTACAGTAAAACAAGACTTGGTGCTTATTGTGCAGGAAACTGCTGGAAGTGTTCCGAATGTATTGCTCATCAGCGTTTCTTTAAAATGCTTAGCTCGTGAAAACAAAATATCACTTTTAAAACATTGTCAAATATGTTCAGTTCTCACATTTGCATCTCCATCTCAGCTCCACCACCTGCTTTGTATTCATTGGCAGCGGATGTGAGATTGTTGTCTGGGTTCAAGGGGCATTGCTCGGGTTGCTTTGCTGTGCTGTGCGTCTTGATTTCAGGGTGGCAAAGCTGCCTTAGGTTCTGTAGAGACAATCAAAAGTCCACATAAGATAACATGTTAACGTGTGCTGTAGGTTTCCCCGATACGAGTCAGAAGAAACATGTGCAGGAAAGATGGGAATCATAACACAAACAGCCTTACATGCTTCTTCCTATGTAATAAAGTATTGCCTCATTCATCTGTTACACATTGTTAAAAATGATAACAGTTTCACAAATGGTGTGAAATATTTCTTGAACTGGATGCCCAAAGTTTTTCACAGGCTTGCTCCTTTTGCCCCTTAAAGCTCCCCTATTATGCTATATTTGAACAGTATATTATAGGACCATATCTATACAAAACATGTCTCTGAATTGTTTGCTCAAAATACCAAACAGATCACCTATTGTAGCCATGCCTCATACCCCTCTATTTCAGCCCTGTTATAGAAGTGCTGATTCTGGGTCTGGCCCTTTAAATGTAATCGAGCTGCAGTGGCCAAGCGTCCGCATGTAAGTGGTGAGCTCAGTGAAGAGAAGGCTTTCTACCAGTAATTATTATTATATATTTTTTTGACACAACCTCACTCATCATACATCGTTTTAAATGAAACTCACTCTCCGCCGCAATAACTAACTCACCTTTTCTATAGGGTCAAATTAATATATTTTCTAAACCGTCTCTGTGAAAAAATTGATTGTTAAAAGTGACAAATTAGGCCAGCAACCACAAGGAACAGTGACGGCCTGAGGATGTTGTTGAGCTAGCAAAGAAGCTCTTTGCAAAGAAAAGGGCAAGGAAGAAACACTTCTAAAAAGGTAAGATCCATTGATTTGAGGGATTGTCTTACAAACACACATTCTCTCTCTATTGCACGCGCACGCACGCACACACACACACACACACACACTAATATCTTCTATCACATATACTGATCACTTAGTTGAGCAACCACATACTTTCAATTCATGTTTTACTTTTGTAATTCTCGATGTTGGTGACAAATAGAACTCCCCGTGTACTTGTACAGCCAGCCAGTCATATTTTGGCATTTGAAGTGGGGTGCTGCTCTGAGGTTTTGAGTGATATTACCTAGGTCTTCTTGAGCCATACACTGTCTTGAGATCTTATCCATTGTATCCTTGTCTTGTGATTTTTTACTGAAAGGGCAAAAGGCTAGACCTACTTTAGTTGAACTATGTAGCTGCATCCCTGCTTTTGACAAATAGTTGTGCGATTGACATGCCAGATTGAAGGAAAATGTAAAACATTGGTCATGTTGGGTAGGCGTGTTGTTACGTGTTGGTACGTGGGTTGAGGGGTCCTGAGCTCTCAGTGCCCAGGTGCTCGTGGAGGTACTAATCCGGCCTTGCCGTGATTAAACGCCATATTATGTTCCGAACCACATCAAGCATTATTTCTGAAATAACGCTTTCTCTCTCGCGGGTTTACCACAAGGACAGTTCTTTATTCAGCGTTTACCGCTAGAACAGTGCCATTGTATGTATTATATACAAAACAACTGTACTCTAACGGCCCGTCCACACAGCGGCGTGCGTTGTCGCTTGCCGACGGGCGTGTCTGAAACTCGACCAACAACCAATCACATAAATCTCCCGCCCCTGACACACAAGCAGCGGTTTGATTGGCTAGAGCTTGTACTGGCATATGATTCGATTGGCAGACGCTTCTGCCGAGGCGTCAAAAGTTGAACATTGCTCAACTTTTGCAGCGAGCCATGCCAGCAACGCTCCGCGTCGCTTCCCACACTGCAGTTGGGCGAAAAGTGACGTCACCCCATTCAAAGTGAATGGTGAAGCGTCAACGCACGCCGCTGTGTGGACGGGACGTCACTCTCGTAGACATCCTGCTGAATACACAGACACACAGCTGCGGGAGGGGATTCAGCTAGCCGACTGTATATGGGGTCGAGGGCGGGGCGTTTAATGTAAAGCCAGCCAACGTTTTAGTAATGATGTCAAGTTCTCAGCAAGACTGGATCAGCTCCGTTGCACCCCCGTTTTTAGAGATGTGGGTGAGGAGGAAAAGAGAGAAGATTGTATTTTCTGACACTTTGTGAGTCTCGTTACACACCGGGGACGTCTATTTATGTATAAAAGACATCAAAAAGTGCATAGATTTAATTTGTTAGCGCTTTTAAAGGTGCTCAAAGACGCTTTACAGATATAGTGAAGAGAAAAGAAAAGAAAGGAACAACAAATAAATATATAGTTAAAGTTAAAGTCA